TCTCTTCCCTCCCCCTCTCCCCCCCCACAAACAACTTAAAACTCCTCTCTTCTTACCAGCTCTTACAACTCACCAAAATACTGAATGGGATGGTCACGAGTAGTAGTTTGAGCAGCTCACAATTAATTACTCATTCGCATGGACAATATTATTTTTTTAATTTATTTATTACAACATTTTCAATATTCAAAAATTTGGCACGATTGTAGGTCTTTAGATCTTGCGTCCTTCTTGAAAAGTGACGTTTTACAATAACAACCCCCCCCCCCCGAAATATAAAATTTCCTGTCCCTCAAACAAACTAGAAAATTTTTTTAAAGTTAAACTGTCCTATAATAACCCTTTTTATAAATTCCGCCCCCAACCTATTCTTATGGGAAATCAATTTTTAAGCTTCTGACTTTTTTTATTCGGAACAGAAGCCTTTTAAAAACTACTTTTCGGTAATAACCATCTTACAGTTATTTTTATTTGTATTGCCTTCTTGACTTCTTTACGCTTCTTGGTCTTGGCCTTTCACACCCCTCCCCTCAATCTTTTCTATAGTTACACTATAGAACTATACTTACACTAGGCACTGTTTTAAAATGTGTATTTTTTATATTTACTGAAAATATATTAAATTTATGGAAACAGTAAATATAATCGCTGTAATCTTTACAGTGTAAATCATTTCGAGTTTTAGTATTTTCATTCAATGCACGAATACCCAAAACACACTAGGTAGCCTATACATTTTCAGTCCGTTGCCTAAATCAAAATGAAGTTTAAAATTAATGGCCCAGGTAAGACTGTTAGTATTTTATATGGGACTATCTGGGGTAGTGTGCTGGACCTCCGTCCGTGGGTCCGGGCTCAAATCCCGCCAATCACAAATGTAATTTATCCAAGTGTTAATGCCAACCCCTAGATCGATCCTGAAGTAATGTGATAAACAATCCCGGGCAAGAATCTAGTATCCTAGAACAAGTCAAAAGTTTGTACTATTTTATACTATGAGTTAATCAACAACCATATTAACCTACAAACCGTTTAGTTCACGGTTTTCCCTACAAGGGTGCTCTAGATGTGGATTCCCTCGCTTGGAGGGACACACAAAGTGAGGTAAAGATCAGATGGGGTCGAGGTGAGATGGCAATTTGGATTTGCTTAAGATACCCTCTCCCAGGGGGAATCAACCCCTTTGATAACCTGAAGTGGCATAACTCATATCACTAAGGTATGCACCTTTAAACGCTTTTCTTTGTTTCAAGAGTTGAAATAAAAATATAAAAGTATTGCGCTTTAAAAATAAATACTCGGACAAAACAACAACTTGTAATTTTCTTGTTTCCTTTTTTCAACAGTTTTGATGTAGGTTCTGACTTTTGGTCTGCTTGATTCACAATATTTTCCGTCATAAATGCGGAATTATTCAAGCTAAGCAAACTGAATACATAAGCATAAACAAAATTACGTCACTGGCCCAAATGTCTATACTAATAGCCGCAAAAGCTGGTTTGTACCTTTTTTGACGGTTCCATTGAAATATTGATAAAAAAATTTTACTTTCGGGTCAGTGACGTCATCTTTTATGTTTATGATACATACTGGCTCTGTTCTAATATTAGTGGAGCTAAGTATTTAGAAAATCATATTTTCGTATATTGTTTATCTAATAATAAGCACACGGAACTATTTCCGTGAACAGCTGTTCGTATTTAACAGTAAAACAGTAATATTATATATGAACAGCTGTTACAATTGCTTAGAAAAAGCACATGTTATTACACCAACACAATATTGAATTCAAGTATGTCTAAAAGGTTGACAAAAGGAAAATGTCTTTAGTGAAACATACTATGTGAACGCGATAATTAACACAAACGCCTATTGATAACGATGGAGTTATATCAGGTTGTAACTTACCAGAAGGGATGATTTTCTTCGAAAAAGTAAACGTAAAATAATCTTTAAAATAACTGGACGGATTTTTAAGTCAGAAAAAGCTAAGACGTCAATTCTACCTAATTTGAAATTTTGAATTTTGAGTTTTTTCAGACGTGGAAATAGGACTGATCAGGAAACTTATAGATCTGTAAATTTAAGAAACCGTTATGACATAACCCCCAGACCAAATTAAACTTATTTTTAAAAGTTTTACTTATTCTTAGCCCCGAAATCTTAAATAATTTGCCTACAAGACTTAAAAAATCTTAAAACAAAAAAGTTTATTGGTGATTCATGGATTAGCTTTTAGAAATAGAAAATACTGATTATTTTTTTTACTCTGTTGTGTAGGACCTAATAAAATAAATAGTTTGAATAATATGTAGATACAAATATTTATAAATCTTGGAAAGGTTCATAATAGTGTTTATGTTTAAGAAACAGATAATGTGCAGAAGTTTTTCATGTTTCTTTTGTGTTTATAAATGAATAGAATAATATTTTACTAATGTGCCACCCACCATTACTCTTTGAGTTTATTGTATCAAAGTAGATTGTGCAAATCCACCAGATCAGGTTGATTAACCTTGGTGGTTATTGTTTCGTGTACTCTAATATTTCTTAATTGCACAGTTGTATGTAATATTGAAACAATAAAGATTTTTCCAATATGTATATAATATATATAATTTGTTTGTCTTACCAATTCTCTGTGTTCTTACGGAGTTAAAGAACTGCTTCCGCTGCATTGTAACTGAAAAATAATGAATAGTCTGTACATTATGTACTCCCTATTGTGAGTTTGTGAACTAAAAATAGGAATTAAATAAGGATGTGCAGTGGGCCTGAAAACAAACAAATGTAGTACTTGCTCCTCAGTCAAAAGTAAGGAAGATGGATGTGTTAATCACAGTTGATTTCGCACCAAGTGTTTTTGTTGACTGTTAATTACATTTTACAAGACAGAAATAGCTACATCTGTACTTGTTAGTGTCCATCAAGTTGGATTGTTTTTTTTTATTTTATCTATAGTATATTATTATAGTGTTATTTTACTATAATTTCAAACTCGTAGCACAAATTGAATTGTTTAAATGAATTTCGTATTTTCACAACTTTTTAATCCAAATTCTTTATTAGCGAATTTCTCATAAGGTTAAAACTATTGTCATAGGTCTCATGAGTTGTCTTCGAAGCACTTTGAATAACATATAAGGCATTGAATAACAAGAAACAAAACATGACCTCTACAGAAATCTGATAAATAATTATGAGTAATTTACCAAGGGAGTATGTTGAACCTTATGCTTAGCTTTGTGATATATAATAACTTTTTTAAAAAGATTCACTTAATCAATCGAAACTTTTTTCAATGACTTACCAACTGGTTCTCTGACTGTGGGATACAATTTACTTGAAACAGAGACTAACTGTATTAACTGACCAGGGAATCCATTTTTTATTTCAATTCCAATTTTTCACTTGTTACTACAACATATTACACTTTCACTAATGTACTAAAAAGTATATAGCACCATATTCATTGATTACACTTAGGCCTATCTTTCACTACTTGAACTGCACTGTATTTTATACACCTGACTAATACACCATCACTTTGAAGAACACCACTTTCAAGAACACTCATCCTACACTCATCTCGTTTTGGCTTAAAATACCTACTTTGTATGGTCGCCATTTCAATGAAAAGTATTAAAGTATAAAGTATAGAGACAAGTGCAACTGACATACTAAATAACATACTGAAATACTGAGTAACTGAGGCCTGAGATCAGTGAGTGCGCGGGAGTCTTATCACTGATTGTGGTTTCCGGTGCAGCAAAATCCTGTGAAAACCTAAATCATTTAAACTTACAGTTACTTTTTCATGGATAGTTGGACCAAAAGACATTTTAAGATTCTACGTAATTTATGCTTGTATATAACACCGTATAACTTTGTCCTTATTTACTGTTAAACTTAACCTTGCATCTGTAATCTTCAAGAAGAACTGGTAATATTGGAATGAATATAAAATTGAAATGAAAACTTCACCAATATTTTAAGAATTTTTAATTTCATGAGGCCTTTCGCCAGCTATGCTAGCATCATCATACATCAATCACAGTTTTGCTATTTCATAGCAGCGAAAGGCCTCATGAAACTAAAAATTCTTAAAATATTGGCGAAGATTTTATTTCAAATTTATACTTGCATTTGTAGTCTAGTGCCTTTGTAAGGAATATATTGTAGTTGATAAATAAATATATATCTATTGCATTACCTACATGATGTTACAATACCTACATTAAACTTGGTACTGTATAATCAATGCTCTTAAGAGGGTAATTTATTTACCTGAATAGATTTCCGTATGGTAATCATATCTAACCATATTATCTAACTAGTGAAAATCCTGATTTCTAATTGGTTACCTGGCTCTTCACTTTATCCTTGATGGTGGAAGTGGGTAACATAGCTGACCCTGATAACTAAGCTGTGAGTAGCCTGTAAATATATTACAGATATTTTTATAAATGTATGGTTCAACTAGGGTTTACTCTTTTCTCTATTAATTTGAAATCAAAATAAACGGTGTTTCTGCAGCTAGCCTCTAAAATTACAGCTGATGCACTATCAGCTGTATGGGGGCATCATTCAAAGTAACTCTGAAAAGAATTAAATATAGACTGTCAGCCGTGCTGCGGTTACCATGGTTACCATAGGTTCCGGCGCACACCGCTGTAGTTTACGTAGCGCGTACGCCGTAACTACATGGCGCTCCAAGCGGTGTGCGCCAGAAGCTATGGTAACCGCAGCACAGCTGACGGTCTATGCTCTGAGTCAATTACTAGTAGAGACATGTTTACAGTAGATATTATAAACCTACGTTTATTCTTAGGACTATGGCACTAAGGGAGCGCGGTTTTGTGGGGTTTTGTGGGGTTATTTCATGAAATAATCTCATCCTACTAGCATATACACTAGCATACACGAAAACAAAAGTAAATAAAGACACCCCACATTCTACTCTCCCCTCGACCACATTTGACACTTCCACTTGTCCCCAGGGTAGCCATGCTGTGGATGACGGTAGCAGCCGCGTGTATGGCCGCGCTGCTCGCCCCGGTCTCCGCCCTCTCACCTAGACTTCCATGGTTCGACGCAGAGGATGTCCTCCCGCAGGAGCTGTCAGAGGATGAACCCATCTGGAGGAGAGACCTTGGAGATGGTAGGGAGATATCACACTTTCATCGTTCATTGTGAAATATATATCAGGAATTGTTACTTTTTAAGTGCATGACTTGAGTTTCTATACATATAAATTTAAGAAGGTTAATCTAATTTTACTGTTTGGGAGACAATACACATACAAACAATAAATTGGTACTTAGGTACTATACCGACCACACCAGTCCACAACTAAAAACTATAACCTAACCTAACCTAAGGGTGGTTAGGTTAGGTTAGGAAGATTTTGTTATTTAAACCTCAGAGTAATAAAACCAAATTTTGTTTTATTACTCTGAGTTTAAACTAATTAAATCTTATTTGAAAGTCGATTTATCGGTGTGATCGGTATAATACGTAAGTACCAAATAATTTTGGTCAAGAAGCTGATTTCTTAAGAGATATGTATTGGATACCTGAATTATTATTCGGGTAGGACTTTGGAGCTGGTGAATCGTACTCTTTTACCATCGTAAAATATAAATATGTGTAGATAAAATTAATTTTGTGAAGTGTTGAGTCTGGATTGTTCCATAGCAAAACCAAATCGGGAGATATTTGGGTATATCACTCTTTTGAAGGTTAAAAGAGGGTTACTAAGATAAAAATTGCGATAAAAACACAAGTAGTGACTTAAAGTTGTACTAATTCTAGGTTTAACACCCTTCCCTTCAAGGTTTGTGAGAACAAACGGATTATTATTTCTACTAAAAGAGACTAGAGGTCGTCCAGTGGTCGAAAACTCGACCAAAGATATGTAATGTATAGACTTTTATATTTTCAACCCACGCTGTAAATTAAACATGTGATTGGTATTTCTTCCATTTGTTTTAATTTTCTGTTTATATTTCGTCACCAGCCTGGCAACCCATAAGGCCCATGTCATTTTTTATTTTAAATTAATTTGTTGTGCTTATCTTTGAGTCCATTTTAGTTTATAAAGGGATTCTGCACATCTACAGGAAAATATCTTTCTAACTGTATAAGTAGATTTTCCCTGCGATGCACACGAGCTGAGAAAAAAGTCCACTAGTTATTAAATATGTAGTTTTTTCTTTCAAATGTGCTCTAGTTTATACAATTGAAATACTTGTAATTGAAAAATAATATTAATTTATAATTAAGTTATCTACAAGCATTTCTGAGTTTAAACTAGTTTTCAGATAACTTAAATTACAGCTTAAAAAAACACATTGTACTGACACAACGATAGAAGGGTAAGCCAATTTGTACTATTGATAATAATAGTAGCCAACTAAAACTGTGGTCAATAATATTAGTAAGCAATTAAAGTTTAGCCAACATCGCTAAATAAGTCTATAAAATTAGTTACATGGGTAAAGGATTTAATGTATCCAAATTACCATATTTGGCTTCAAGTTGGGTTGGCCCGTAAAGTATTGGCGATGTCAAAAACAGTGTCTTTTGAAGCACGCCTCTTTGACATTTAGCCTTTGTGGGAATAAAATTCTCGTATAAATGTCCTTTTTAACATTGTTATCATTGTGAAACTATCGTTTGTATAAGTCAATTATAACATCTTGTCTATTTGTTTATTAGAAAAAATATATATTCTGTTATGCATAACCATGAGTTTAATTTAATTTGTGTATTCCAACAATGTAATATTATTTTTGGACTACCCCTACAAGTATTAGATATTTTTTGAAATCGATTTGTGTCAAATTATAATTTTGTACAAAATAGTATTAAGGGTAGTATTGCCAAGTCCGTCCATTCACATTCTGTGGTGGGTGGTTACTTAGTATTCTCTTCGACAGAGCACGTATTTGACCACGAATGCATAATTTATTTCTGAGGTTATCCAGGCATTAAACTGATCAGACCACTTCACGTGAGTCACTTCAGTGAACCACACTTCATTCATGTACTGAGCTAAGCCTACATGAAGTTAACACTTCATTTGAACACAGTAAATGTAAAACACGTGAGACAAGTGACCCACTATTCGAACTTAGTAATTTTAGCAAGAAAAACTTCATTGTTGCTAGTTAGACCTTTTGGTGTTTTTTACGCAGATTTGTAAAGTGCGTCTCCAACATTTTGCAATATATACAATAATGTTGTAAACATTAACAAGACGGTAAATATTTATAAATTATATTAAATGGACGATTAATGTTTGCCTTCCTCACTCCATCATCAGGTCCAGAAACCTCATCTCATAAAGCTTTACAGTATCCATAATCCCAAAGTACCCATGAACTTTTGAGAAAACTACAAGTCACACCCCTATAAATCATATACTTTTAATTCGTCATGACGAGAAACTTTGCGCAAAACTATCCATTATTACATCAGTTGCCCTTTATGGTCGTAATCCCTTTATAAAGGAAACTTTCCATATACCTAATGTTAAAAATACCTCAGCTATACTTATTTGTATATTATTCTTTTAATTTATTACCTCATGAAAATAAGGTGTGATTATTTGATTGTATAACTTTATTCTGTTTTGTTTATCGGCTTTTATTTCCTTAACCTTCAATAATAACCCAATAATAATAAAAAATATTAATAAAAATATAATAATAAATAAAAAAATAATAAATAATCTATATTATTAAAACGAAACAGTGTTTTTTTATATCACGATTCTGAATCAACCACTCGACGGATTTTCATGATTTTTGTGTTGGTTTGAGAACTAGGGAATTTTAGTTTAGAGCCCCAGTTTTTTTAGAAATGAAGTTTTAATTTTGAAAAAGTCTAGCAGCCGACGCTAAGATTCTAAACTAGCTTTTGGCATAAAATAATTTGCTTAACATAACAGCTGTAAACATTCAGCTTTTGTGTCACAAATTCAGCATTTGGATAAAAATGTAAAGACATACTTAGGGTTGACTTATTTATACTATGTGTAATGCTAATCATTGATACGTTCAATTCTTCTGTAAGAGGATGACAGATTAATTAAATATACATAGCAAAATACTAGGATGTTCGAATTATTTTTTGAAGCAATCTTTGTAATCTTCTATTTGTTTTAGAGCAATATAATTTGTTTTAACTAACAGCTGGTTAAATATAAACTATGGAACTATGAGGTTCTCTTATTTTGTCATTGATTATAGGAAATAAGTAAGATTAGTAGAGATAATTATACCACAGTTTTAACCAAAATTAATTAAATCACAGTACAAATCGAGGCTCTGTACACGAGTCTTAATAAAAAAAAAGGATAAATGCAAATTATTTTACTGCTACACTTTTCAAAGGAAAGATTAGAAAAATAACAATGTTTACATGTTTTAATTCTTCATGGTAGCTTTTTGTTTACAATTAATGTTTGTCTGCTTTAACTTTGTTTGTATTAGGCCCGGAAATATTGACGTCATATAAAGAAGATCAAGAATAATCAGGAATCACGATTTTAAATTACCACCCCAACCTCAGCCGGGTTTTGTACAAAGATAAACAGATGGATGACATAGATTAAACACAATGTCAACATTGACCTAGGATACTGCAATTAGACAAACCATCCTTTTATGAAATCGTGTTCAGTTGTGGTTACGTTTGGGGGCGCTTTTATTTCAACTATGAATATTAGTTTGAATCAGCTAATATGGGAAATTACGATGTACATTTATTCAATGAGGGTGGGTCATTATCAAGGATAGAACTGATAATGGGATGGATAATAAACATTGACAATTACGTCATTAGCTTTACTAACGTGTTAGGGAATAAGCTATTACCGTAGTACTCATGGTAAGACCTGGACCCGGGACCGATTTATTTTTTCGTTTTGAGGTCCCTAGAGGCCAAAAACACCATCCGTTAAAATTCATATATATATATATATATGTATGTCCGTCAGCACGATAACTTGAGCAAAAATGATCCGATTTCGATGAAATTTGGTACAAACGTGTAAACCTACATTTATTCGAACGAGTTCGCGAACCACCATGATCGGACTATGGGAACGGGGGTTTATGGGGGGTTTATGGGGTAAAAATAGGGTTTTCCCATTTTTGACCCTAAAAACACAAAATTTTACAATTTATTTCCAAACCATTTTGTAGAGCTTAAAGAAACAAATAATTTAGTATATTGAAGCGTTATTGTGCGCCTAATGGTTACAGAGAAAATTCCAAAAAATTGTAAATTTAAAATCCCTATGTTATTCTTATGGAGAATAAGTCAACTGTTGTAGTTTACTTGTAATAATATAACGAGGTGTTAGCCCGTCCTACGTACGGGAATTCAGTAGTCAGTTAAAACCGTGAACGATTCAGATCAGCTAGTTTACACATATGTAGACAAAGTTTCTTGCAGTTTTAATACAAAACAGATCGTAAATAAAACTGTTAAAAAAAATCTTGTAAACATATGTTGTGTGACAAAATATGTTTTATTCCATCATAGGCCTATACCACGGAGGCCGTGCCTATACGATAGGTATGCATTTCAAATCCGATAATTTTACAATAAAACAGCAATTCTGCAATTTTTACGATGTGAAAAGCGTTGAAGTGAGATTGGCAGACGATTCGCACAGACGCACACTGATTATAAGTAGCCTACAGTAGAGAGAGTAATAGTCAATTGAGAAGTGTATAGTTGTGTAGACCTAGTCAACGATACCACCTTCCATTGCATACCTGCCTCTTCCATAATTATTACCACCACAATACAACTACTATACACGATTTCCAGTAGGTCTGATTAGAAACGACCTAAAATAAAACGATACTATCCAATAAAATTCACAGTACACATAATTTAACTTTGGTGTCCTAACATAAAAACTAATCGTCACACCTATCCTTTATATAAATTTCACTGCATTAATTGCTAAATAAATAAGTGTAAACAAAGAAAATTAAAAACAATAACAGTTTGTTTTGAAACAGCTGTTTGGTTCAAATAACATTCATTTGAACATTCATTTGGTCACATGTAGCAGGAATATAAAAAGTAAACACGCTAGTAAAGCTAATGACGTAATTGTCAATGTTTATTATCCATACCATTATCAGATCTATCCTTGATAATTACCCACCCTCATTGAATAAATATACATCATAATTTCCCATATTAGTTAATTTAAACTACAATATATTCATAGTTGAATAATAATTCATAGTTAGATAAAAGTTATATTTTCACGTTTGGGGGCGCTGATATAGGCACCCCCAAACGTAACCACAACCTTTTTTTTATTTTTTATTTTTTATTTATTTATTTACTTTACAATCTGTTCTATCATATATTGAACAATAAGTAAATACTATGTAATACAAAAAATTTACTTTGGAACATTAAAAATAGCTGTTAAGCACTCTCAACAACAATTTTTTCAATAAAAACACTTTACAAAAATCTGTAGGGCAGGTCCAGGATTGATAGCCTCTTAAGTCTGTAAATTGTATCCACGTTGTTTAATAAGTTAAGAGCTAAATAATTTTGATGAGATTCCAATTTCGTAATATATCGTTCACTTATGGTCATGATTTCGTCCTTAACTGTAGGCATCTTAAGATCTTGATGTAGTGTTCTATTGCTGACATACCATGGTGCATTTGTTATCTTCCTCAGCATTGTCGATTGGTATCTTTGGAGAATTTCTATATTAGAAGTACTCGCTGAGCCCCATAGTTGCACTCCATATGTCCAGATTGGTTTCAATATAGTTTTATATGGCAATAATTTATTTTCTAGACTAGGTTTTGATTTTCTTCCGATGAGCCAATTTAACTGATTAGATTTTAAATTTAGTTGTTGCCGTTTTCTCCAAATGTGTGTTTTCCAAGTTAACTTCCTATCTAAATGGATACCAAAACTGAATACGATTTCATAAAAGGATGGTTTGTCTAATTGCAGTATCCTAGGTCAATGTTGACGTTGTGTTCAATCTATGTCATCCATCTGTTTATCTTTGAACGTATAAAACCCGGCAGAGGTTGTGGTGGTAATTTAAAATCGTGATTCCTGATTATTCTTGATCTTCTCTTTATGACATCAATATTTCCGGGCCTAATCCAAACAAAGTTAAAGCAGACAAACATGAATTGTAAACAAAAAGCTACAATGAAGAATTTAAAACATGTAAACATTGTTATTTTTCTATTCTTTCCTTGAAAATTGGAGCAGTAAAATAATTTGCATTTATCCTTTTTTATTAAGACTCTTGTACAGAGCCTCGATTTGTACTGTGGTTTAATTAATTTTGGTCTATAGTATTTTAAACTGTGTTCTACTAATCTTACTTATTTCCTATAATCAATGACAAAATAAGAGTAAATAAAATAACCTCATAGTTCCATAGTTTATATTTAACCAGCTGTTAGTTAAAACAAATTATATTGCTCTAAAACAAATCGAAGATTACAAAGATTGCTTTAAAAAATAATTTAAACATCCTAGTATATTTTACTATGTATATTTAATTAATCTGTCATCCTCTTACAGAAGAATTGAGCGTATCAATGATTATCATTACACATAGTATAAATAAGTCAACCCTAAGTATGTCTTTACATTTTTATCCAAATGCTGAATTTGTGACACAAAAGCTGAATGTTTACAGCTGTTATGTTAAGCAAATTATTTTATGCCAAAAGCTAGTTTAGAATCTTAGCGTCGGCTGCTAGACTTTTTAAAAATTAAAACTTCATTTCTAAAAAACTGGGACCCTAAACTAAAATTATGGCTTCGACATTCCCTAGTTCTCAAAATTATCTTTCTTTCAACACAAAAATCATGAAAATCCGTCGAGTGGTTGATTCGGAATCGAGAAATAAAAAAAACACTGTTTCGTTTTAATATTATAGATAATAAATAATATAATTCTATAATAAATAGCCTAACCTATCAATAGCTTTATTAATACTTTTGAAGTCAAACGGGGTGAAGACCGTGGGTAACAGCTAGTAAAGTTAAATATGAAATTGCGTTTGAATTGCTTCAGTAATTTCACTTCAGTAAATTACTTACTGGAAAAGTAATTTCTAACAGAAAATATTAGTGTACAAAACACAAACGTTTCTTAAGAACTGAATATTCCTAAAACGCAGTTCCTACAAAGATAATTTCTAAGAAATCAATTCTGGACCTCATTTTAAAAATTGGGTAAAAAATCTATTTATGTTTCTAAGAAAAGGTTGGCATTAATAGCAACGAGAAAACGCTTTATAAGAAGTTTAATTTATTATTCAAACAGAATTTGTAATTACGTTTAAAATTTCCGCATTTGTTTTTGAATTCCAAAGAAATTATGATGGCTCATGTTCTATTAAAGCGTTCCAAACATACTCTTCCTCCTAAACCCTTATTTTGCATAATCAAAATGCTAAATTTACCCGTTTTAGAGTATCAAACGTCTTAAATTTAACATTTTTGTTGTCCTATTTTCCCTATAGATTTGTTATCCTTATGGATCATTTGAAGACAACTTAAAGGGTTTCTTGGCAGAATACGTTGAGCGAGTTTTATGTTTTAATTGTTTAATAATTGTCCTTACGCCATCTTACAAATTTAACTAAATAAAGAATTGTATTTATAAGAAGTTTCTTGACGTATGGTAACCCAAGACTAAAGTGCAACATAATATAACTGAAAATTATTAAAAATAAGATTTAACTGTTTCTTATTTTTATACTGCGTAAGGTAAACCCACCAGTAGCTGACAGTATAAGAAACTATACGCACTTAATAATCCGTGGTTTTGAATAAATAGGAACTAAAGAGATATTACGGATTTTATGTGATTCTAAATTTAGTGTAGTTTTCAAATTTGTCATACAAAAAGGGTTTTTAAATATATTTTATAACATTTTTAAACTTAATTCAACCTTTGTACGTGTTCCAATGGCTGACAGTGAAAAAAGTGCTTGTACCAGTAGCTGACTGTCGGTTGTCCCAGTAGCTGACACTGGAACTATAAATGTACTAGCCTGCTAAACCTAAGGGTTTTATAATTTATAAGACGAATAAAATCTAACTTAATAATTAAATAATAAAATTATGTAAAACGTTATTAAGAAAAATTATTTTACATATTTTAAAATAAAAAATATTTACATTAAAAAAATTATATTAAAAAATTACCATGAGACCTACGGTAATAGCTCTATTTCCAATAGGGAAATTCGCTAAAAGTAGTTATGGGGTCTTATTTCTTTATTATAATGACATTTTAAGGTGTGGTTGAGATCACATAAATTATAAATAGCATGCAAATTTCGATGGGTAAAACCAATTTAATATTGTGCAAGTAGCAAATATCCCCTGTCAGCTAGTGGAACTTGTATGGCTTTTGTGTACCAAAGCCTGACATTGATATAATTTTAAATCCAAAACCCCTAACACCCCAATTTTATCATGAAATTGTCAACAAAGGTATAACTTTTGCGTTAGCATATGTAATCTTTGGTATAACTGATAAAAATAATGATCCTAATCATTAATACTATTTAAGAAATTTAGCGAAATTACAAAAAACCAAACTTACCTTCTTAACAATTTCATTAAGGGAATCGACTAAATGTGATGTGTACAGACATTGTCGCTTTCAAACCACCACCATTCAGCGAGTATAGGCTAAATTTCACTGATTTTTTTCAAACAAATCAAGAATAAACATATGTTCTTCTAACAACGCAATCATGTGTAAATATTTTTAAGAGGCCACATTATAATGTAAAGAAACTCAAACTGTCAGCTTCTGGAGCACTGTCAGCTAATGGTCCATTTACCTTACATAATTTTTATACTGTATACTTATTTTTATACTGTATTCATCGGCGAATATAATCCGTCACTAAAACGTACCCCATGAGAAACGTCAAAACAGGCTTAAGATTTTGCAATAAAATGAGGTGTATGCTTTTAGAATCAAAATTCAATGAAAAAAGTATAATATTAAAAACAAAACAAAAATAATTTGGACCTTAAGGGTTGCCATGTTGGTTACGAAATATAAACAGAAAATAAAAACTTATGGAAATAATTCCAATCATATGTTTAATTTACAGCGTGGGGTGGAAATAGAGAAGTTTGCACAATACATATTTTTGGTAGAGTGTGTGACGGCGACCTGTAGTTGACATGAATACGTAATGCCTTTACAACGACACTGATTCTCTTCATTCCCTTGTGTTGCAGAGCTGATGGCAGAGAAGCGAGCTCTGTCAGTTCTGTCGAGGTGGAAGCCCTTCACGGACACATTCAGGAATAGCGGTAGACCCAGCCGAGCACACAATATCAACGAGTTCCTTCCTAGAGGACTAGAGGTGAGGAAGTATAAGAAGTAGAGGTAGAAATGTGGCAGATTTCACTTCCTAGAGGGATATGTATGTGGGGTACCTCCCAGTTGAACATGAGATATAAAAGTAGGTAGTGGTGGTAGGTACCTCTTCCCAAAGGATTAGAGGTGAGATAGTAGACGAAGTGACAGTAGGAGAAAGAAGTAGATGTAGGAAAGTATTAGCTTTCACCCTCCAGAGGGATGAGGTTGAGTAAGTGGAGTAATTCCATTCTAGTTGGAACAGATGAGGAGATAGAAAAATTAGGTAGTGGTAGTAGTGGCTTCTTCCCAGAGAAGTAGATGAAGTTGTAGCTTGAAGAAGTAGAAGAGAAAGTAGTAGCTGTCACTTCCCACAGGGATAAGGTTGAGTAATGAGGTACTAAAATTGGAGGTCCCTTCAACAGATGAGGACGTAGAAAAACTAGTTAGTTGAGGTAATGGTAGTAGTGGTCTCTTCCAAAAAGAGTACAGATGCGATAGTAGACGAGTTAGGCAGTAGTAGAGATGGCTTTTTAGAAGGGGAAGAAATAAGTAGAAGTAGGAAAGTGGAATCTCTCTGAAGGGTGACCTCATTCCCCAGACAGATGAGATTGGGTAAGTGGTGAACTGGCAGGTATATACTTGCTGGGGCTGATGAAGAGATAGGTAAAGTATGCATTGGTAGAAACGTTAGTCTTTTGCAGAACAATTAATAAGTGATGTGATGATAGTTTTCGTCGTCACGCCTCGTAGAGATAAGATTGGGAAAAAACTTCCGGTGGATGCCTCTTCTAGTAGACGGAAGATAAAAGAAGTAGTGGTAGTTCCTTAGGATTGTACAGATGAAGGGTGAGATAGAAGAATTACCCTCGTCCAGAAGAGTAAAACCTAAAAGGCTGAATTACAAGTAATAGTCCATTCGTGCATGATAAGGGGTAAGAAAAAGCTAAAGGAGAAGTTATATAATTGTGAAGTTGTAATTGTTGAATAAATTATATGTCAGCTATTTGTCCAAAGCCGGGTTTTTCCTAGGCGCGGAAGTGTTGAGCGGAGAGAGGAACGCGGAGAGCGGACTCCATTTGTCTTAGGTAATTTAATGTTACTGTTTTCTAGAAGCGGAGCTGAACACCATGTTAATCTCTTTTCCGCTTTCCGCGTTCCTCTCTCCGCTCTCCGCTTCGGTGCCCAGGAAAACCCAGCTTTAGACTAGCTGGTTCTATCCAGGACCATATTGGAAGAAATTTCAAATTTAAAGACATTTTACACTTTTTCCACTCTTCTTGCAGGTAGTATCAGCGGAGACGCGGGGTACGCTGCGCCCCCATGGACAGCCCCTCAGGTGGGGGCGACGTCGCTAGTCCCCCCTCCACTTCCTTGTACAGCAACCAATCAGATAAGACAACGTCTCCTCACGATGACGTCATAGCACCGTGGGGCCACTTTATCTTGTAGACAGAACTATGTATCATTATATTAGACTTTGTTTTGTTTCAACTTTGTGATTAAAATTGCTTTAAAATGTAACTGTTTCATTGGACCTGGACTGTTGTGTTGGTTTGTAAGTGGGGTTATGTTTCAAATTGTAAGATGGTATTTTGAAACCTTGAGGAAATAAACAATATTCTTCATGTAGGGGTGGTTTGGAGTTTTATACAATCAATGACATATTCCTTGGATAACTCTTCCTAACGGATTTCACAACTGCATAGTGAAAATCATGCTGGAGACAATAGATTTGGCAATTGATTTGGCTTTGTCGAGTGATTAGCCAAAGTACATTGTATTGGTGTTTTAACAGCTTGAAACGATACCCGTAGTCTAATTAAATTTTAGCTCATTGATTTTTTTCTGTTTTTTATGTTTGTTTTTTGTTTTTTGCTTTTAGTAAATAGGCCTGACTAAAGAAACAGCTGTTCTTAGCCAGTTAAGCTATCCAGATCCCGACAATTTAGACTGCCAAGGGAGATTCAATTATAATCTGTCCAGAACAATGATAAAACTCAATATTTCTCCCCAGGATAAATTTGGAAGTAGGCTTTTGAGAGAGTAGTTAGAATTGTGCAAAATTTGCATAACAAATAAAACTAGTGGTCGTCCAGTGGTCGAAAACTCGACCAAAAATATGTAATATGCACTTGACTATAGCAGACTGAAGTAGACATTCCATCAATGGATCAGCTGTTTCATTTTTTATTGAAAAAACATGTATTTGAGTGAGCCAGTCACAGAATTTATGTCTAAAATAATGTTTTCTACCTTATTTCTCCTGCTGACAAAGTTGATTGGTCATAACAGTTGCTATGGCTCATACAATAAGTCATTACATAAGTTTGACTTGGTAAAAAAAATCGTTTATCCAGCAAAGATTTTTCATTTTGATCAGCGCAATCTGTTGGTGGCTCACATCAACGACGAATAATTTATTTTAAAACCTGGCGAGAATTTTAACATGGGGATGGAATTTTTAGTTGTAAGTCAAACACAGGCTTACCTATTTTCACCCCACGCTGTAAATAAAACATGTGATTGTAATTTCTCCTTTTGTTTTTATTTTCTGGTTTTATTATTGTTGTTATTTTGTCACCAGCATGGCAACCCTTTAGATCCTATTAATTTTTCCAAAATTTTGAACTCATTTTTTGTGCTTATTTTTGAGCCTATTTTAATTTATAAAGGGATTCTGCACATCTACAGGAAAATATCTTTCCAACAGTATGCGTAGATTTTCTCTGTGATGCACACGAGCTAAGGAAAATGGTTTTAAAGAAACATGCTTGCCTATTAATATATAGATAGATAATAAAAGCAGTAATACGGTTTATCAAAATTCTCTATTAAACAACCAATGGGGTGATTTCAATGAATTGAATTCTTTTGATATTGAAGTACAGAGATATGAAAAGAAACTTCAAAATGGCTGTCCGTAAAGCAAAATCAGACAAAATCCTTACTAAGATATCTGAGTCATCGAACAAATCAAAGACAATATGGGGAATCATAAATGACACCAAAGGTCCTAAATTAAAGGACAACTTCGACATTTCATTGGTTGACAAAGATGGCGGTACAGTAGGAGATCCAGGGACAGTCGCTGGAATCTTTAATAAATTCTTCTCTGATATCGGGACTGAATTTCACACTGAAAGTGACTGTATAGATAGGGTGAACTCGCTGTCAGAGTCTCTCAATTTTGTAAGCAATTCTCTATTTTTGTCCCCTGTCACCAAACCCGAGGTAGAAGAAGTCATACTTTCACTCAAACCAAAACCATCGAGTGGGTCAGATGAAATTTCTTCTCGACTTCTTAGAGAAACATATGATCTAGTTTCTGCTCCATTGGTCCATCTGATAAATTGTTCTTTTGAAGAGGGATGCTTTCCATCTTCCCTAAAACATGCCATTGTTAGGCCTATTCATAAGAATGGAAGCAAATTTGATTGTAGCAACTATCGGCCAATTTCCTTAATTTCAACTTTCTCCAAGGTTTTCGAACGTCTTTTTCTGAACAGACTCTGGTCATTTTTGGTGGAAAATAATATCTTGTCTTCCCACCAGTTTGGGTTTATAAAGGGAAAATCGACCCTCGACGCAGTCAATCATGTTGTATTATTCTTGTCAGGAGCCCTAGATTCTGGAGACGCTGCACTGGGAATAAATTTTGACCTGTCTAAAGCATTTGATATGGTTGATCACCCTACTCTTCTGCAAAAGCTTTACCGTCTTGGAATACGGGGCTTAGCTCACGAATGGGTGTCATCCTTTCTTCGAGGAAGAACTCAATCAGTCCGGATACCCTTTGTTGACTCCCAAGGAATTCGTAATCATGCTACCTCTGCTTCGTCTGTTGTTATTCGGGGTGTTCCCCAGGGTTCTATCATCGGCCCAATCCTGTTTTTGCTCTTCATTAATGACCTGCCTTCTTTTGTATCAAATAATCCAAGTTCAAATGTAGATGTTTGTTTATATGCCGACGACACCTCACTTTGCGTCTCAGCTAAAGACGTGGCTCATCTAGAGACAACAGCATTTGAGAGTTCCAATAGAGCTTTGCAATGGTTCCAAAACAACAAACTTCTTCTAAACTGCAAGAAAACAAAAATGCTCCAATACCATATTAACAGCTCAAAAAAGCAAGTCCCACTGACTGTTTTGATAGGTGACGAAGAGATCTCTTCTTGTAACAATGCTAAGTTTCTTGGTTTGGTTTTAGACAGACAGCTCAACTTTCATGACCATATAGAGCTCATATCCAGAAGAATTAGCACAGGAATTTTTGTGATCAGAGGTCTTTCGAGGTTTACCGATTCTCGTGTAACCTTGAGTGCCTATTATGGACTGATTTACCCATTATTGTCGTATTTGGTGGCAGTTTGGGGCTGTGAGAGCGTACGAACAAAGTTTGTCTTCCGTCTTCAGAAAAAAGCCCTAAGAGCAGCCTTCAGAATATCCCGTCGTACTTCTTGCAAGCCTCTCTTCAAGGAATACAATATCCTCACATTTCCATCCATATACATACTCAGTTGTCTATCGTTTTTAAAAAGAAATTATCATCTGTATCAACCACAGTTCCATGCAATGCAGTACACTCTCAGACAAAAAAACAATATTAAGCTACCTAAGCACAGGACAAGTTTCTTTGAGAGACACCTATTTTATAATAGTATCAGGTTTTTCAATGTGTTGCCTGAACCCCTGAAAGTGGAGCAAGACAAAGACAAATTTGGGAGAGCGGTCAAACGCATTCTCTTGGAACAAGCTCCCTACACTGTGAAAGATTTTTTAAGTTGCCGATCAAATTAAGATACTCTTCAGTTACGTTTTAGTTCTAACAGCATTTATAATTTAGTTTTATTATATAATAAGATTCTTGTGACGCTATTATACAGTTTTTTTCTGTGCAAAAATAAAGATGATTTGATTTGATTTGATTTGATTTGAATAGTCATTGTTTTATTTTGAATTTACTTTTTCTTATGGAAAATATAAATTATATGTTTAATACTGGAAACTTTGCATTTTTTGCACACTGGATGAAGAACGGAATAACATTACTTCCTTTAATTTATTATAAAATCTAAAGCTGTTTGATTTGCCAGAATTTAACCTGTAATTTTTCATTTTTCTACCTTTTGTAAATGGTTTATTAACCCTTTCAGTGCTAGGCTAATAATTTGTATTTTGTAAGACTTTTTTGTTTGCCTTTCCATTACCTGTTGTTGAATTTTAACTGTAATGTTGTCACTATTATATTAATTAGACTAATTTCGAATAATAAGACAATATACCTAACAAAGATGAATCCCGGTATTTTTAGTAAACATTAAATAAAACTTAGTTTTTGTTGTAATTTTCCTAGTTTTCCTATGAATCGGATTGGGCGAATCTTTTAGCTAAGTGGTTGTTAGTGTATCCTATGAAAGCAGATCACCAATGGTCGTTTTGCTACTTTTTGTTAAAATAACCTTCCTCTTAAAAAAGTGGGATAGCTTTAGGTTTTAGGGAAGTTTTTATCCTTCAGTTTGAATATAAATAGATCCGCAGAAAGATAAATCCAAAGACCTTTTGGAAGTTCTGTGGGCATCAAAGGCTCTTTGTACACTTGACGGTGTTCAAGACACACAACTTCTACTTCAGACTTCACATCTCTTGAGCAACCTGGCCACCAGACGGATTCTTTTGCTCTTGAACGACATTTCACAATACCTAAATGGCCTTCGTGAATTTTGTTTAAAATTTCTTTCCGTAAACATCAACGTATGAATGTACATTCTTCTTCCTCTTAATATCAAGCCATCTTCCAAAACAAGTTCATCTTTACATTTCCTAAATATCTAGTACTTGGACCATTTATTCTCTAAATTTGACGATAAGATTTCACGGCTCTCTAGATCATTACCTTGAGCTTGTTTCTGAGAAAGAGTCTACTTTTTTGCTAACGACTCCTGCTTCCTCTTGGCTAATTGCATTTGATATGTCACTCGCTCTATCTCTTACTACATTTTGCTGTTTCAAAACAGACTTGGATTGCCGAACTTTGGCAATAGCCTTCCTTAAAGTTAGTGAATCGTCCATTTGTACAGTCTCTGAAAGTTTGGAATTATTGACTCCAATTACAATCAAATCACGTATCAACTCTTCCTTTAAATTTCCGAATTCACACGTATCAGCTAATTTATGAAGGTCATTTATAAAAGACTCCACTGTTTCTTCGGCCCCTTATCTTCTCTTAAGAAACTTGGCACGTTCATACTCAAAGTTACATTTGACTTGAATCATTAAAGCGTTTGACTACTTCTTAATACTGAAGATTATTCTCGTCCGAAATACCAAAAGGAAAAGATCTTCACCTTTGTAGCCTGGAGTGTACAACAGCATATTAATTTGTTGCCTGTCAGGTTTGAAGCAGAGCTCTGAAGCAACCCTGTACCTCTTAAACCTTTCCATCCAAAGAGGCCACAAGGCGGGATTTTGATAATCAATAGCTTCAGGAGAAATTTGAGTTTGCATCCCTGACACTGAA